TTCTTTAAATTAAAGAAACCGAATTTTTGATATCCCTATCAACATTTTTGACAAAATTATTTTTTTTTTGGCTGTTTTATAAAATGCAGGAAAGAAGTCTATTCAAGCTTAATATTATTTCAGAGTGTCACTCTGTTTCTTCAAATAGTCAAGACCATGCTCCAAGTTATTCAATGAGCTTCCGAAGAAGTTTTCGCTCACCTATACTAGCACAAAACCAAAATTAATCTACGCCAACACCACCATAGCGAACTCAAAGAAGTAACCAACTAACTACACCTCAACTATTAAAAAGTCGTAGGTCTAGGTTCAGATCCCTAAGAAACGATAGAACAAATACAAGTGCTAGGTTCAGGTTCAGGTCCCTAATAAACAATATAACAAATACGAGTGCTAGGTTCAGATCCAGGTTCAGGTCCCTAAGAAACGATAGAACAAACATGAGAACTAGGTTCAGGTCCAGATCCAGGTCCCTAAGAAATGATAGAATAAACATGAGTACTAGGTTCAGGTCCCCAAGAAATGATAGAAGTAACAAAACTGTAGATGAAAGAGACAAAGGTAATATAGTTATTTTGAATGCTTTGATTTTTTTTTTTTTTTTTTTATAAAGCTATTGATATACCAGTATAACTAAAAAAAAAACGTTAATAATAATAGAGATCAGATCTTTAAAAGAAATGATTTCGACATTGTTAAACCAAGTAAATGTTTTAACTACAAGTACTTCAAAAAGTCTAAGTAAATACTTAGAAAGTGTTTTCGCAAATGAATATGAGATTTTAAATGATATTGAACTTGAATATGTTAGTGATTCAACTAGTCTATCAAGACAAGTTTTGAGTGTAAATCTATTCGCCACTAGCAATATTAATCAGGATATCGATAATGCTACCACTAGCGATACCACTACTAGCAATACTAATGATAATGCTACCAGTAATGCTACAGCCAGCAATGCAGATAATGCTACTGCTAGCAATACCACAACTACTACCAATACCACAACCACCACTAATGATGTTGCAAAACAAATGATGTTGCCAAAAATAATGACGCCACTAGCACTACTGATAATGATAATGTCACTGCTAGCACTACTAATAAAACTACTAGAAGAGCCACTACTAATAATATCAGAAAAATAAAGAAAAAAGCTGTCAAGAACAACCTGCTGATAATGAAAGTAATAATCGACAAAGACAATCTGTAAGCTCAGAACCAATAGATAGATATAGGCAAAGAAGGCAAACTCGAGTAATGTTGGAAGATATGATCAAAGAACAATATAAATTGTTTCATATATGTATTTATTTTATAATGATTAGGCTACACAAATTTAATTAATTAATTTTCATATCATGAACTAGTGTTGAGTGATACAGCCATATAGATTTTTTTTTTTTTGCAAAAAATTTTTTTTTAAAAAAATAGATATAAAACATAATAAAAATGTTTTTTCTAATCGTATTAGGTTTATTAGATATGATTAAGAATATTTTAAATATAAATCATATATACGTATTAAGGTTAACATTTATTAGCAATTTAGATATTAAATCATATATAATAATTATAATTTTCATAATCTCCAAAACTCTAGATTTTTATATATAGTTGGTTGGATTCAAAAATTAGTTTTATATATTGATACATTTTTTTAATACGAGTGCTATCAAGGGAAACAACACATTAGGTTTTTAATTATATTTTGCGCTAGACATAGTCATTAATAAATTAAATAAGATATATCTGGTACAAATTATAATTGAAAGCCCAATAGGCAAAGTAATTTTATAAGTAATTATGACCTATGATCTGTACTTAATATTAAATAATATTAAATATTTATTACATTCTATTACTTATTATACATACATATAAAACATATGATAACATTCAGAGACAAATGATCAAAATTGAGATTGAACGAAAAATTGCTGCTAAAAATCAAATTATTATAAAATTACTTATTATTACCTATTTCACAGTAATATTAAGTAATATTAAGTAATAATATGTAACTAACTTTGCCTATCTCTAAAAAGGGTTCGAGAACTTCCAAAAAAAATGAATAAACATATAAATTTGAGTAAAGGTCCAAGAACTTCTGAGAGTAAAATGTTAAGTAATCTTAATCGGTTGCAATTAGTTGACATTAAATATTTCGATTCAGTTACCTGACTAAGGAATTTTTTCTCAGTTTAAATCATTACCTTTAGAACTAAGGCTTGCTAAATTTAAAAATTTTAAGATCTTAGTAAAATTGCGAATCAGATATTCAAAAATAGCAAAATGCGGGTCAAACTTTTAAAAAATTTTATTTTACAGACTAGCAAAAGTACAATTTTTTAGGCTCACACATGCTCTTACAACAAGTGCTAATCTTAACACAATATCTGGTACTAGTTAACCATAGACGAGATGCTTAAGAAAGTTTAAAATCAGATACTAGTATTACTAATTTTGAGTTATTACCAGAACCTTGCAATATATAATCCTAATACTTAGCTGCCTTTGATGCATTAAAAATTCTAAATACCTATTTCAGCAGCAATAAGATGGATACATATCATTTCATCAATAGTCACTTTACCGAGCACCTTATCACATGTCATAACGAGTAATATTAAACTATAATTAATAATTATCAAACAATCATTAAATATTAATCATAGCTCTGTGTGATGAGGTATTTGGTGAAACGATTGTTGATAAAATAATATGTATTCTAATAAAATATCTAAGTTTCACAGTTATACATAAAATTACTTATACTTCAAAAACTAAGACAGTTTAACAATATTTTAGCATCTGATAGTCATATTTCGAATATTAATAGTCACAGAGGATAAACAAAAGGATATAAACCTTATCGATATACTTAAGATTACTGAGCCCTACACAAAAAAAAAAAGAAAAAAAAAATATAACACTAAATTAAGTGACAAACATGCCTTTAAAGAATATTACTAATCAGGAACACAAATAACTCTATAATTACCAGCAATATGGAAGAATGTCTTGAATGTGTTAATTGAAAATACATGAATATTGAATAGAAAAAAGATGAGTTAATTTTCTGAAATTAAGCCTAGATGTAACATTAAAAGATACAGTATGACTATAATATTACACAATAAGTATTTGAATTGTAATCGACGAGAAATCCTTCACTAAATCCATTCTATATTTCTTGCAAAGATTGTCTAAGTGACAAAAATATTATCATATAGCACTGGCTATAGTACCCGTGAGTGCTTGTGTAGAACTGGGTACTATATTTGGTGAGAATTCATATGAGTGCTGACAAGAGAAAGTGTCTCTTTGAACCTTCAATTATATTCCTATTAGACTCAATCTTTAATAAATTAGAAGTGTTCGATACAAATATAACTAAAAAGTCTAATGTGATGTTTTTCCTTAGTAGCACTCATATTAAAAGTAATAAATTAATGTAATTATACTCCGAACTAGTAGAATAGTTAATAATATCTGAGTCTTAATTGTGAAGATATTATTTTATAGGAATATTATAGGTAGTACTATATGGTAGGATTTGAAACTTCAAGAAGGAAAGAACTATCATCTTTCGCAGATTAATTTGGATGTCTGTTGCTGAACAAATCTATGAACATACTCAAAATCATAGTAAGAAGTGATAATAAAAGGTTATTTTTAATCATGCTTCTTGGTCTATCTATTAAGATAATTAGAATGATAAATACATAAAATAAGCTGCATTGTTTTGCAACCTGTTATTTTATAATATTATGTTTATTAATAGTTTAAACGAATGAGTTGCTATACAAAACAATCAACTTTAATCTAGTCTAATCATTAATTATAAAACAAATATCATGCCTAATAATTACTTTATGAATCATGTGATCCAGAATTATAGCTATTCTAGTTTAGCAATTATACATTTAATTGTTGTTAAAGTCAATGACTTGTAATGCAATTAACAAAATTACCTTATAAATTAATAGTGGAATAAAGTGTAATTTATAATTACCTTATAAAATTAATGACTTGTCAATAGATCAGGTAAATGGATTATCTAGTTTGCTTTAGTCTAGTTTAGTAATTTATCATTTATTATATGGGCTAGGTGCTAGAGAAAGGGACCAAATTGACAAAAAATAGATTTTGCGAAAAATTGATTTTTATATTATAAAATCTATATTAACTTATAGAAAAATACAAATTTCAAAAGATTATACTGTAAAATTTTATTAATACACTAGTATTTCTTTCTTAAGTGAAAAATGTTTCTGAGCTAATTTTAAATTAGTTAAGCTTAAAAAATTCATTTTGAAAAAATTGTCAATTTGGTCCCTTTCTCCAGTACCTAGCCTATATATTCGTGTAACCTTCTTTATCCTCAACTTGTAAGCATTTTGTCACGTTATCTATTAATATTGATTTTTCCCTGTCTAAAATAGAATATTGTTTTATATTATACTTAGCTCTATTTGTAGTTAGTTTCTTTTACGCATATCTTATCTGTTATATTAGGGATTTATCGTATCAGATCTGATCATAGTATACTATTGGGAGAACCTTTAATTGTAATAACAGATCAATACTATTCCCTTTTTAGTATGTCATATTAAATTATCATTATTCTCTAAATTAAACGTGTGTGTAGTCAAATTTTATTAAAAATATGTTGCTTAGATATAAAAATATCTAGAAAATAGCTTTATCTCAATAACGATAAAATCTATATGTTGAGAATAAGTTGTTGATTAAAGGAAATATATTCAATAGCATAAATAGAATTGTGATCGTTAACATTATACTTTTATACATATATCATATTACCTTGGGGACTTGTTCATATTAGATCTGGTTGTAGCATTGTTGGGAGAACCTTTAAGCATTGTAATTAACAGATTAACACTATTCCTTTTTTAGTATACTATATTAAATTATTATTTCTAAATTAAATATGCGTAGTCAAATTTCATTGAACGTGTTGTTTAGATATTAAGATGTTTTACCTTGATAACAATGATGTGAGAAATTTATATATTGAAAATAGATTGTTGTTTAAAGGAAATCACTTCAATTGTATCATCTATGTTACTATAGTGGGTATGCAAAAGGTAATTCATTTACATGCTAATTAGTAACTATTAAAATTAAAAAAAAAAAAACAAAAAGCAAAATAAAAATAAATCTTGAGAACAATGATAGAAGGAATCTTCTATACATTGAGAGTGAATTGTTGTTTAAAAAAAATAATTTCAATAGTATCAATAAGTTTATAAGGGAAAATAGCTTAATATTTGTGTTAGATTGATAATGACAATGTGAGAAAATTTTCTATACAATAAGAATAGGTTATTGCTTAAAGAATATATTAAATAGTGTGGTTGTATACACTCTTTTTCCTATATTAGACTAAGTCTTTATCATGAGTATGTAAAAGGAAATTCATTTCACATGTTGTTAGTAATTATTTAAGCAAAAGAAATCAAATCAAATAAAATCAAATAAAAAAAGTATATAAACATTATCTTTTAACCTCTGAAGCTCTAGATTCATATAATCTTCGAAATATATATTTGAGAACTATAGTATCAAAAAATAACTTGTTGCTTAAAATTAAAATATCATACTCATTTAATTAAAATTGTTAATTTTAATAGAAAAAATATAATTATTATTAATTGTCATATTAATTAAAATCATTGAATTTACATAAATCATATAAGTTATTTACCTTGATTCTAGTAAAAAAAAATGCCAATTGCAAGTGTTCGAATCTCTAAAAGGTCGAAAGTCATTTATGAGTGGTATATCCATCCTATTCCTCACAAAATAACAATTAAAGAATTTTTTGTAAAACTTACAACTAGGAAATTATCTCCAGATTGTAATATAGATATAATAAATCCTGAGGCAATATAATATGTTGAGATAAGCAAGGCACAGGATGTGATAGCAACTCAAGTTAGCATCAATTGTAATATCATGGAAGTTACAACAAGTGTAGGAATATATGTACATTATCAGCTCAAAACAGAAAATCCAAATTTTAATTCAGAACAGCAACGAAATATATTCACAATTCTAATACAAAATATATGCCGAACTCAGCTATATTTTCAAACCTTTGTACAATCAGAAAAATTGAATCGTAAACAAAAATTGCTTAGTGACATCATTGAATAGATTTGAAATCGTGATAAAGAATAGTCTACTCAGTCATATGCAAATATACAAGGAAAACAATTTGTTACTAGTTTGACTGAAATTATTTGGTATATTGATATGTGTTATTACCAGAAATTCGAAAATGATAGTTATTACATACCTGAGCTTTTTCTTGAGTTTTTTGGCTGTGCAAATCCAGAATCATATAAGCAATCATAAAAATCCTTTGATGCAAACGAATTATATTTACATTGTCAAGCTCTTGCTCCATATGCTATTTCGTTATGGATGCTAAAAGATAATTTTAATTGGTTTTATAATATATTTAATAAATTTATAGTTACTATTTCTAACTATGTAGAATTTTTGCACAAATAATGGGATGTCACTGCTATAAATCTAGCAACAGAAACCCCTATACGAACTGTTGATCAGGCTACAACAGTTCAAATCCATAAGCGTAATATTTGGATAACGCCTATGGATAAAACCAAATATTATTAGCTTGAACAGTTGATTAATAATAAACCATTGTGGAAGCTAGTTGATCTTAAAGAATTTTTTCTAACAAATCCTATGTATGTAAAAATAATATTGTGATATTTGATCTTAAAGTTTTTTTTTAATCATCTTTAGTGAGAAACAATATAGAATAAATTAATACTTAAATTTGAATCTGTTATAAAATAAAATTTCAAATATTTAGTTTTTGTTATAATTGTTGACATAAAATAATATTAATATAAAAAACTAACAAAATATATTTTTTTTATATAAACAAAGAATGCATTACATACAAGGTTTATCTCGTGCATTTTCCTTTAAAATTGGAGAGTATCGGTTTAACACAGGGAATAATGCTTTTAATGCAATCTCAATATAGAAAATCGATGAACAAGTTAGCGAAGAAGAGACTTTGTAACAAAATAAACGAATTATAAGTGAATTGCAAGAAGATGCACCTCGTTATTATACACGAGCAATGAGAATAAACTACCTATGTTTTTGTGATTTGCTTCTCCCAAAAGCTAAGATATTATCACTCAGGACAATCTATCGAATGCTAACTGGTGATGTCTCCGTAGCTGATACTACAAATCAAACTAAAGTCGATGAGCAAGTTAGAACTGCTTTAGATCTTAGAAACTCAGAGATTGCTATTGATTTATGTGAACATAATACTAGAAGACTAAGTAAATATGATGCCTTCTGGGAAATAGCGGCTCAATTTCTTGAAGGAAAAGCAGCTAATGCTGTGACTGCTGTAGATAAATGTAGGCACGATCTAATCATTCATCTTGCAACTGCAATATCTGTGAATGATCTTTTATATTAGATTAAGAAAGAATGCATATCTGAAATAGCAATCTCTAGTGCTCAATGGTTACGGTTACAGTTTTGGCTAAAAAATCTAACTTGGCTCAGTAGTTTACAGTTTACTAGTTGTTTACCTTTAAAATTTATAGTTCAAACATGTCAACTCCATGCTTTCTATCCAGACATTCATTATGCATCTGCTCTATTTCGCTATGAAAAAAAATTTGCTATGAAATTTCATGAAATTACAAATTTTATCTTCATGGATGATAAGTATCACTGCAAGGTTGGGGAACCAGGATTTCCTGTTGCTGCAATTGAGAGAGAAAAAAAAGTTGTAGTTAATAGAAATACTATATTTGCAGTTGCTGACCATGATTATACTAAAATGGGTATTATATCAAGTATAACAATGATATGTAATATACCTGAATTTATAAATGCTGATTTCTATGTAGGAAAAGTATGCATTGGTTTAAAGGACCTAATTTTTCAACCCTCTTTACCTCTTCGCCATGTAACAAAATTATACAATATACTTCTTACTAAAGAACTTACAGATAAATCTATATTATGTCTTTATATAGATGGTAGCCCAGATCATTGCTGTACATATACCCATGTTCAGCTATTATATATTTGTCTTTTTCTTGCTTTAGACCTTGATTATTTTGTTGCTGTTCGAACTCCTCCATATCATTCATAGAAAAATCTAGTTAAGTGTATCATGTCAATTCTAAACCTAGGATTGCAGAGCATTAGGTTAATAAGAACTGAAATGAATGATCAATCAGAAAAATTAATAAATAAAGTTGGTACAATAAATGAAATTCGTAAAATTGCAAATGAAAATGATAGTTTTAAAGAAGACCTTACTGAAAGTCTTAAGGCTTCTATTAGTTTGGTTTGTGATGTATTTAGCCATCAGTTTTTGAAAAGTGAATCATTTGAAATATATAATGTAGCATCGGATATAGAAATAGAAAAGTTTTGAAAAACAATTTTTCTTCTTGAAGATAATATTATTTATGAAAACTGTACTTTAGCAAATATAAAACAAATAGTAAGTATTAATTAAATTATGATATACAAGTCACTCTTGTTATAGTAAAGTAATTGAGCTAAGAAAAAAAAAACTTCACTATAGCTTATATTGAGAGAATACTATATAAACTTTATTATATCGAGTGAAGAATTAATAATAATAGCAAAGAATTTAAAATAAATTCTTCACTATATCAAAATCTTCATTATATCAAGAGTTCACTATAACAAGAGTGACTTGTATACTGTAATAATAATAATAATAATAATAATAATTATAACATATATTTAGCCACAATTACAAGAATTTTTCGACTACTATTGTACTGTAAGGCATTACTTTTTTTTGATTAAAAAATGTGGCGAAATATCTTGCACTATTTGTCGTTCTTCTCGTTGTTTGCTAGAAGATTTTGAGAAACTGCATTGTCTCCCAGATCTGATACCTGGAGATGACTTGCATTACATATCATTTGAAGAGCTATATGGTATACGAACAACAGAAAACCATAGGCCTTCATTTATAACATCTGAACCAAAAAAAAAGCAAGAAAGTGAAAACAAAATATACTATGCTATTTAGTCCCTCTGCAGCACGTGCTAAAAATATTGGTATCACAGTAAGTTGTATTAAATGCGAGAAACTACACCTTCTATTTAGTGTGAAGAAGATTTCAAAAAAAGATAAGTTATTGTTGCAAAGATTTTTAGATATGATCTTTTATACTTGTGGTATAATATTTTATAACATATGCGACTTGGCGATAACTGTATTACCAAATCAAGATAACAATACAGAAGATGATATTAGTTCTGATAAAGGCGATAATGAAAAAAAATATTAATAAAGAAGTTAATGAGGAAAAAAATGATTCAACTGAATCTGAAAGCTCAGACGATGAAAAGCCTGACGAAATTGCTGAGGAGTCTGATGAAAATATAGAAGAGCCTGATACTGTTGCAAAGAATTCTATTTATGAACTTTTTTTAAAAGTCTTTGTTAATGATTCATTGACTTGTACAACAGAAATTGAAAAGCCATACTATTCTGCTAGAATTTATCCAGACGTTTGCATTCACTGTGGATGCTTAGATATTTCTAACTCAGAAAATGAGTATCCACATTGTAATGATTATGAGAGTAACCTTACTAATTTAAAAAAATCTTCAAGACAGTCTAAAGATATTAAAAACATACAAAAGCATATTAAAACTAAAAACTAGCTTTGATTTTATTTATAAATCAGTTAAATATATTTATTAATATAGTTAAATCCAATCCTAGATAATCGAATGTCTAATAAGTTCTATTATAATTAGTCGAGAATTAGAAATATTAAACTTTTATCTAATTAATTTTTTTTTCTATTTATTCGAATTTTATATCATTTCATTGGTTTTTATTATAAAATGTATTTATTTATTAAGAAAATATTAAAGATAAAATATTTATAAATTTTATTATAAAGTT